TGCTTGTACGGCTCTTTCCTAGGCGATGGGGGAGACGTCTTAACCAGGTTGTTTGGAAGGATAATAAGGATTTCGTTTCCATTTTCGACGTTTGGGTTTTTTGGAAATTGGTTGGGTTCGCGAGAAGGCGTTGAGGTCTTTATTTAGAGGTTTTTGTTTTAGTTTAGTGTGAAGAAAAGGGATTCGTGTGTTGATGATGACGGATTTTAAGAAAAGAAGTTTTAGCGAGTTTCATCTCTTGGTCGCGGTTTGGGTCGGTCTCGTGTGACCATACTTCCTTAAGGTCAACATTATCCCCTTTGACCCTTGGAGGCGAACGCGAGGGGTCAGGACAAACTCGGCAATCATCTGGAGTGTTAGGGTCATCTTGGATTAAAAGTGGCGGCTATTGTCAGCTAATGACCTCTCTCCATCCGGTGTTGACCCGGGCACCTCACCTGGATGACCCTGGTTCCCATAGCGGGGTCACCTGAGGTCAGTCGAGGAAGGATGCTAAGCGGGAGTGACCTGAGTTCAAATCGGGTACAAATTGTTGAGATTTGCGATCGTATCCAAGGCGTGACGTGTACTGAATGAGCTATTTATACCTATTATAATTAAGTTCTTTAAGGAATTATGCCTATGATCAGTGATTTTTAATAATTGTACATATATAAAACACACAAGAACAGATTTTTTTTATTTGCATTTGACACAGCTTGTGATGTGTTTTCCTGACCTGTAGCAAATGTACAGAGTGAACCTACGATTTGTTATTTTCTTCTTTTGTTATTTCCTTTTATTTCCTTCTTTTATTATTTTCTTTGATTTTCTTCTTTCCGATCGCTTTGTGCACAGGGAGTCACGGGACGCTATCGCCACGATCTGTGAAGCATTTCCGCCGGTCTAGACAAGTGACTTTCTGGAAATTCCGAAGAGTTTGATCAATACTTTGACACTTTTGATTGTTGGCGAAGGGCAGAGTGGGTGGTGGAGTGGGAGGGAGATGGAGGGGGAGGGGGAGAGGGAGAGGGAGGGGGAGAGGGAGGGGGAGAGGGAGGGGGAGAGGGAGGGGGAGAGAGAGGGGAGAGAGAGGGAGAGGGAGAGGGAGAGGGAGAGGGAGGGAGAGGGAGAGGGAGAGGGAGAGAGAGAGAGAGAGAGAGAGAGAGAAAGAGAAAGGGAGAGGAAGAGAAGGAGAAAGATTCATCCGCACAAAGACACACAGACAGAGACAGAAAGACAGATCAAGGGACAATTTTTAGCAAGAAAATTCCTTCCAGGTATGATTGTCTTTAGTGTTGCCAGTTACTGTAATTCTTCGTCCATTTTTCATCCTCGGACCATGCGGGGGCGAGAGCGTATTCTTTATCACAAATGAACCTCTTTTGAACCTTTTTAATGAAAGTATATTTTGGCATTTATTTCGCGAGAAGGTAGAAGTTATGTTATGTAAATAGCTGTTTTACTGCTTTATTTTGCGTTGTTTGTCTGTACTTGTCCTTGTTCTTGTAAAGTAATGACGTTAGAAGTTAATTGCGCGTAAGTAAGCACGCGTTCGTAAGTTCTATGATATTATGTTGTTTAAACCTATCGGCGTATACTGCGAAATCAAGATGACTGGGCAAAAAAAATCGAATAAAAGGATACTAATATGCGAAATGTTGCAGCTTATTTACTTTGCAATGTACTCATTTGTGAACACCTAAATTCGTCTAAAAGAAAAGATTACATGTTAGGAAAAATATGCAGCCTAAAATCAATTAGAAAAATATATATAACAAATCGAAGCAATTAAGGGTATACACATTAAGGGTAACTTTGAATTGGGGGATATTCCAAAGACATGTTCCTTAAGTAACACTTTTCAACGAGAACAGTAAAGGGAACTATCCACTATAGGGGTATGCATGCACGAAAAGCTGTTGTAGAGAAGAGATTCATTGTGAAAATATCATATTTGCTGGATAAAATCAAGGATTAAAAATAGCTTAAGATTGTATTGGAATTAGTTATACTCTTGCTAGCATTAGTGCACCAATTGTAATTACTATAGAGAGCTTGTTTAAGATTGAAAGGTTAATACACACAGGTGTTAACCAGGGAAGATTCTTAAATAAAATATCTGAAAAAATTCACTATTAAATTAAACGAAAGAAATCATTTAAAAAGTAGTTCAAAGATAGTAGGGGTATACAAACACACATACCATGGAGGGGAAGGTGTTCCAGGTATATAGCTTCCCGGCGTCCGCTCGCCCGATTGGCTCTCCCCACTTCCTGTGCGCGCGGGGCTGCCGCATGTCGCCACGGGAAATTTTTAGTCTTGGAAGATTTTCGAAAGAAGGGGAAGCGAAGGGGGGGGAGGGTTAAAAAATGATAAGGTGTGTGTGTTAGGGTAGATAAGAAGTGGTTGAAGGAAGGGTATGGGCATGGGAAGGTTTGGTAGAGAAGGGGTAGTCTCTGTTCCCTTCGTGGTCGGGTTTTGTGCGTGGGGATCGCGCGTTGTGTAAAGAAGGTACAATTCGCCTGTGCGTCTACCTTGGGCCGACATCCGGTCCGCTCCGTCTTTACTCACCTCTGTCACATCTCCTCCATGCCGTGGCCTCAAAACGCCTCCTATCTCCCGCTCCTTTCACTCAGATGTCTTCCCGAAACCGCGGCTCAGATTAGAAATGGATAGGGCGAGCTAATGTGGCAAGTCGACACCGCGCGAATGAGAAATAAGGCGGGAAACTCCGGAGACGTGGCATATGCGCGGTGGGAGGGGGTAACAGGTGGCGTGTAGGAGCGTCGGATCCGCAGACGATGACAGGGATGTATGTTGGACTCTGTTATGGAATACGATCCCTTAGAGACACGGAGGGAGGGGGGCGGGGGGAAAGCCGTTGGTGCCCCCGACGCCCGCCCCGACTCGCCCCTCGGGAAGCGGGCATTGTCTCTTTTCCCCTTGCGTGATACTTGCATTTTTTTTGGTTGTCGACTTTGTGGGAACTTTTTTTCTTGTTTCTATGGTCTTATGGTCGTATTGTTTCAATAGACTCATGGTCGTCTTGCATGGAAAATGTCATGATTAAGATTAAATAAGTAAATAAAAATAATGAAAGACGAAAAAAGGGGAAAATGATAGAAACATACACAAAAAATAACTTTCAAGATAGAAAATACACAGTATAAAACACAATGGGAGACAAAAGAGATCTTGAAGACATAACGAGCTTCTCTCCCGCGCTTCTTGTCCCTCACTTGTCATTCTTCAAATTCGTCTTAATGATATGATGCGTACGCCGAGGGTCCCACGTGTTGCAGGGGATACGCACTTACTCTTAAATACGGACAACTTTTTACCCGTGTTCTGTGCGTGCGGAGGAGTCATATACGCGGGTTGTGCGA